TTAACTAATCTAGGGAGGAGAAGTGACCCTGATCGTGATGAATTAAATAGGGCATTATTACAATAGGCCAAATAATTAATAAAATATATTACGTTTGAATATCTATGTTTTGTATGTAATTAACTATGAGCGTATTATAAAATTGCCGGTCTTAGCAATATACTTAACCCCTTTATAAGGTTTGACTGTATCACCCAAACCTTTAGCACTGACGATCTTTAAGGAATCAACCTTCATTCCGCTGGGAACACATCCCTTATGAGTATACGACAATTTCAAGTAAATGGGTTTGATAGCTTCCATTGCAAGCGGGGTGGATTCCTTGTCATTACCCAGGTGAGACTTGTCGTGTTCTTTTAGAGCACTAGTTAACTCCAGGGGGTCATAAGATCCGTCAGAAACTATAGACCCATGAAGCATCGGTTGTGTGCCTGTAGATATATTACGTATGTTCCATTCACCTTTACCGCTTCCTTTGAAGGAAAAATCACCATGTGTTATTCTGCTAGCTCTAATGTTGCTTACGTTTATGTTACTATTACCACTAGCATCATCAGTAGATGAAGCTTTATCGTCGCTTACATTATCGCAATGTATTTCTATGCATAAATTTTCAATTTTAGGTACTGACTTATTGCTGTTAATGAATAACCGGATTTCAAATTCATTCTGGTTAGTACCCAAACCATGATGGTAGTCTATGTCGACAATACCGAGCATATCTTTTTGATCTCTTTTGTTTACTGTGTCCAAATCAATTTGATAATTCATTAATGTAGAATTTCCATCAGGTGGAATGAATGATAAATTGCCTGGATCGTTAGTCCATCTATCCAATTCTATACATTCATGGAAAGAAGGTAAATCCATTTTTAACCCTCCTTTATTTAAAATCATTTGTAAGTAGGGAACCCCCGTCAAATGGGAAATAAAATTTATTTGACCATCGATTGTTCCGACTATGGGGACCAATTTGGACGATGTCTTTAATGATGTCGAATAAAATGCAGAATCAAACCCCTTTGATGAGGCTAACATATTTGATTCCTTGCCGATATGTTTAGGCAAGGGTTTTAAGATCACATTTATAGTCTCCACGACATCAACGTACATTTCGTTATTAGTATACTTAACATTATCCCTTCTCCATGGTACCGATGTCTGCTGCATGTTGGAAGAGAGTGATTCAGTCTTTCGAGTATTATGGGTTATGGATGACAAAGACTTGTTTGACACCGCACTAGCCAAGTCGTTACTAGTACTCAACAACTTGGTAAACAAATTACTGAGCGGAATCAAATCCCTTAGCCGATTGAAGTCTGTAACATTGGGAATTCCATCGTCTATCATCTCATTTACGAGTAATGTCAACGTATCAATATTTGCATCTATCTTCGTAACCGCTAACGGCCTTCCAAAATAATCTTCCATGACTTCCACCAAACGATTTATAAACACAAACGGCATTACAGGGTTTGGATCATTCTTTGAAGAACATAACAAATATATTACAAGGTTCGAGATCTTCTCAAATGCAACGAAATACTCCGAATTGATTTCAACTAACCTCAGCTTCGATTGGTCATATTCGTCCAATTTGATTAAGTTTTTTAAAGAATTAAATTTTGGACAAGATAAATTAATCAAGTACTCAAACACCAACGAATTCGTGGAATCTGCTATGTATACTGCCTCAAACATGTATTAGTTATATCAAAAATACTGCCTCAGTCAACGACTGTTGGAGTTTGAGTACTTGATTGAAATTTCTCATATTACCACTAAGCTTTGTGTCACTTGACAAGAGGAACATATTCTGATCAACTACTGAATCATATGTACACGGGTAAAAGATATATTAAGTATATATACCGAAGAAATTGATAAGGAGTAAATTATCAATCTCTTAATTAAAACAATTAAATAAAAAGTTAGAGTCGAGCCATTCAATTAAAATTAATTTGGAGTAAAAGAAAAGGATTATTAAACTGGGGGAGATTATAGCAGGAGTTTTAATTATTCCACAGTAGTATTTCCAATAGTTCATATCAAACACGTAGCCTCATAGCGTAAAAGTTAATTCATTATATACACACACATTTTCTTCATGACTTTTAGCTTTAAGGTAAAGGTGTTTTGGAAATAGACAGACTTGTAAAAATATTAGAACCTGCAATTAGAAATTGAAGTCAGAACCTAATGGGTTCTTTCTTCAACAATAGAAGAAGCTTGTTCCATGGAAGAAGTATTATTAGCTTCATCTTCGCCGATATCGATATCCAAGTCTCTTGCAACTCTTTCTTCGACATCTGGAATGTCAGCCATACCGTAGACAGCGATCATAGCAATACCTAAGAAACCTGCAATACAAGAGAATACTAAAGCCACAATACCTCTAGCAGTGAAACCAGAAGGTAAATCAGCGACTTGGACATTCTGACCAGTTAAATCTAAATAGTCTTTAGAATTACCAGCAGCATTACCTTCATATGGCATGTCGAGCATTTCACAATGTCTCTTGACATCATCTTGCAACTTCTGTCTAGGATCAGCTTGGATAGCTAATGGTGCTTCGATCAAAACTATTGCTAAACCTTGGATTAAATGCCAGTCAATGTGACAGTGGAAGAACCAAACACCCGGGTTGTCAGCTTTAAATCTAAGTACCATATACGATTGTGCTTCAACATAGACAACGTCTCTCATCATTGGATATTCTGGGAACTCGACATCATCTTCTACGTCAGCGTATTCAACTGGATCACCCTCAGTTATTGCCGGACCTCTAGCAATTAATTGGAAAACATGACCATGTAAATGGAAAGGATGTCTACCGTCATCACCATTATTCAAAACAATATCAATGACATCATTTTCTTGTAAAACGTAAGTATGAGTATTAGTACCATAAACTAATTCGTTTGTAGCATGTTCCCCGGACGATAAAACGGTCATCAAAGGTGGAAGCTTTGGTCTAACATAAGTAATGTTATTGAAGAAAGCATAATTGATACCATCACCCAAATTATCCATAGCAACATCAATAGTGATAGCATGATCGGCATCGTCATACAACTTTTCTTTGTTCAATGGCGTTAAGTAGAAATCATCAAGGAAGTCATCAACACTGTCAACCTTATATTCTTTTGGCAAGTCCTTGTCTTTATTATACACCATATAATTAGTAGAATTTAATTCTAATTCATCTGGAATCACATCCAACATACCGTCGTCAAATCTAGTCATCATAGCATAGTTCTTATCAGTGCTATTCTTAGTTTTGATCAAAACACCATAACGTTGGGCGACAGTGATATACAACATATCAGTCTTGTTATTTTCGACATACTTACCATCAACTTCAACCACTTCGAATTCATGGTCTTCCATCCAAATGTATTGTGAGACGAAAGCACCAATATTCACAATACGGACAAAATAAGTCTTATTTGGTTCAACAACCCAAGAGTTATTTCTAGTTTCATTAAACAAAATGTTAGCTGGAATTGGTTCTGCACCAGTTGGGTTGTATCTGTTCATAAAGTCATCAATCAAGTCGTCAGCTTTTTCATGGTACCATTCAGAAAGCGACAAAACAACTTCTTCGTCAAAGTCAAATGGATAATCGTCGTCTTCAATAATGAATGGAGCTCTCATACCATCAAGTTTCTGACCCTTAGTATGAGAGTGATACCAGAATGTACCAACCTGGTCGGCAACCGTGAAGTTGTACAACATTGTTTCACCAGCAGGAATAGGACATTGTGTAACCATTTCAGGACCATCCATTTGGGAGCTTCCGTTCTGGAAAAGCCCATGGAAATGTAACGTAGTATTAGCAGTATCGAAACCATTAGTCAAATACAAATTAATCCTATCACCTTTGCCGACTCTCAAGGTTGGGATCGGCCATGTGTCATTGAACCCAATTACTTTACGCTCTTCGACACCATCTGGATTAGCATCAACCCAAGTGGTCTTGAAATACCAAGTATGAGTCTTAGCATTTACTAAACTCACAATAAATGAAATGAAAAATAATTCACACAATTTCATTTTGTTTAGTATTATTCTTGTATAATCTATCTTTTATTACCCCAAACAAATTATCAAAAGAATCAGCTAAAGAAGAAAAAAAAACCACTCAATATTGATTTGGATAATGAGCAAATTTATATCAATCAAAAAGGTTAGAAAATTTTGTTCCCTAGAAATAATGGCTACTCAACATAGTGCCCAGATAGCATTCGGTTCTGTACCTATACTGCAAATGCTTCAATAATCCCGAATGCTGCTTGTCATTGGATTAGATTGATAACCACAATGCAGAATCTTTTGACATGATACACGGGCATACGAACCACTGCGTATGAAGTATGAATAATATGAAAATTTTTCTGCCTATATGCCTTATCATGTTAACAGTTTGATTAATCTGATAAATTTAGGTATGCCGTTAACTGGAAGCCTATTGTTCGCCCGAACCGGAAAGTTGATTTTGGCCAATCAACTTTGCTTCCTGTGATGTGATGTACGAATATTAGGTACTAATACGACTCGTGCATTTGTGGACTTAATTCACTGGTGGCCGTAACAAAAATGAGCAGTGTCAAAATCCCCCTACTTAGACATATGTAGCCAAGGAATCAGATAATGTAGAAATTGTACGGCCAACAGATGCGTTGGCAGAATATTCACTTGACATTAGACGAATAATAGATGCGAGCCATTCAGAGACCCGAAGGGATCAAAATAGGGCGTGCAGACCATGAATAGTTGGGCCGTGGGTAATAAGGTTATTGTTGAACGTGATAATTAAGAAAATTATTAAATGCATACATAGACTAATAAGCTATAAAGGGTATAGGATACGAAAATATGGCAGGATAAAAGGAAAGTGTATTTCTGGTGCAGTGATGTTTAATGGGGTGTACGGATATATCAGGTGTAAGGATTTATAAATCATACTGGAATGATTTACTCATGATGAAGTAGTTATTATGACTGAATCCTCCAGATATCTAGTTTTAGAACTTCTCTTATATCTTGCAATATTTAAATGTGTTGAAGACGAATTGGAGATTTACGATTACCATTATTTTTTTCCAGAATTGGAGCTGATCACAAATAGTACAGCCCTCTTAGATATCACAGTAAGTGAATTTCCATTCGAAGAAGTAAAGAAGGTTAAAGACAATTAATTTCAAGATAACGTGCTAGAACATCGGGGTTTCTTCAAAGTCTTACATCTTCAAGAACCCTGGTGATTGCAGTCCTCCTAGCGGATCGCACCTCTTCAATTTCTCTGACCCAATATTTAATAGCCTGGATTGTCCTCAAGAATTTTCTATTTAAATAATATCATGAAGCATGGGTAGATTTCTTTCTTTTACAATTGCAGCTGTGACGCCGTTCACAAGAGACGGATATTTTGATGCTAAATCAGTCCCAGGCCTTATACAGTACTTGGTCAAAGAAGCAAATGCTCCCGGTTTATTGATTTGGGGTTCCACAGGTGAACAACATCTTATGTCCATTGAAACTCGTTTGGAGTTTTACGGCTTAGTTAGGAAGACAGTTGGCCCCAATTACCCACTTTACTCAGGAGTTGCCGCTTTCACAACAAACGTCGCTATCAAATTGGCTAAAAGAGCTGAAAAAGAAGGATACCAGGCTACTATGCTAGGATTTCCTCCTTACAGAATTCCTACCCAGAGTGAAGCTATTGACTATGTTAAAGATGTTTGTAAGGAGATTCCTTCAGTATCTGTATTTTTATATAATAATCCTAAACGGACCGCGTTTGACCTTTCTGTTGAATCGTTGGTTGAAATAGTGAATCAAGTCCCAAATGTTGTGGGCTTGAAACAGGCTGGAAATAGAGCTGGTGTTCCGTTAGCAATGCAGCAATTATCTCGTGAAATTCAATTTCTCTCAGGTTTTGATGCAACTCTTGTTGAAGAGTTTCAAGCAGGATATTCCGCTGTTACATCTATTGCAGGAAATATATATCCTAAAGGAACCGTAGAACTTATTCACTGGATTGAAAAGGGTGAAAAAGACAAGAAGGTTGAAGAGCGCCAAAAGTTAATATATGATGCTATTACCTTTGTTAACGAAAACGGTGGTATATCTTGTTTGAAATACATTTTGAGAAAAAGAGGTATCACAGCTGGATTTTCTCCACCCCCTGCAAAAGAACCTTCTACTGATGTTGAAATAGCCTTAAATAAATACTGCTAAGACCATTTTTTGTATGTTGTTGCTTTTGAAGGCACTATCTACACGGAACATTCTACGTCCGTTGATTTTTAGATCTCAGAGGTTCAATCCAGAGCTTTTCGAAATTAAATACGAACCTAGGGAGGTTATTGCGATTTAATTAAATCTCTAGTTGATCTTATTAGCTTAATGTTCGAGTACTCTTGATCCAAAATCTTTAGGAAGGCGAAATATAATAATTTATTCCCTATAGTTCCCTTGATCTGTCTCCAAGCATCCTATTCATGATTATAAACCAAATTCCAAGCCAATCTTCTCCTGTATGAGTGCAAAATGAATTGCATTGGTTTCTCAATAACGATAACTGCATACTATATATGCATTGTTGGTAAATGGAACCATTTCTGGAACCATGGTTTGTGCACTACTGGTGATCATCTTCTATTCCGAAACAACTACCTAAATATATAGACTAAGTACCTTCTTCTACATTAGGCACGTTGACAAGACGTAACAAGGTATCTTTGATACATAAAAGTACAAGGCGAGTTAAATAAAATAGCCATACCATTCGTACAATACATTTTATGCTTCTGAAATTTCTTCGAGAGGTGATCTTCTAATCTAAATGCTAGTTGTCCCACAAAGACTATTTAGCATTTCCACGGTGGTTCAAAACTCATCGTCGTCTAGGTTCCCCGGTTTCAACTTTAATTTAAATCAACTTTTGAATTCAAATCTCAAATTTTTGCCAAATGTCAGAAAGAAATCGATAGTGCATGACGAGACGGTTACTATTGATACGCCAAAGAAGTTGAGGGCTATTGAAAATCGCTACAAAAGATCAACACATCCTACTTCGGTGCCTTTGAATAAGCTATTATCAAACAACTTTCCTTTATCGATAGGTGATTCTATCGACGATTATGCATACAGACGTAATCCATTAAAATTCCAGCATGACTTATTGTCACTTTTGCCTTTTTATCCTCATGCAGATTCGTCAGGAAGATCAAGTCAGGCTCTTCAGGTTAAGCTTGACTCGGGGAACTATATTAATGAGTTTGTTATTTATCCCCCTAATAAATCAGAAGCCGACGCAAGTACAATGAACCATTTGATTATGATCCATGGATATGGAGGTGGATTAGGGTTCTTCTTAAAAAACTTTGATGAGATATCTTCGCTTGACAACTGGTGTATTCATTCCATAGATTTATTGGGATATGGATGTTCTTCAAGGCCTCCTTTCAAGCTAGCTAAGAATGATTTAGAACACGTTGAAAAGTGGTTCCACGATTCATACACTGAGTGGCTTATAAAAAGAAACCTTAGTCACCTACTATCTCTGCAAGTTTTAGTGATGGGTCACTCCATGGGTGCTTATTTGATGGCTACTTATGGTGTTAAGGTTAACCCTAAGTTCTGCCGTAAATTGTTAATGATATCTCCAGGAGCAGTAATTAAGCACAGGAAACAAATATTTGTCCCTAAATATTTTGCAAGACTTTGGGAGCAAAATATTTCCCCTTTCACCTTAGTGAGAAAAGCTGGTCCATTAGGCTCGAAGGTGGTAAGTGGCTGGTCTTCTAGAAGGTTTGCAAATTTACCATCTAAGGAGTCAAAATTGTTACACAAGTATGCCTACGGGATCTTCCAAAGTCCCGGCTCAGGTGAGTATATGCTCAACTATTTGCTTGCTCCGGGAGCTGATGCACGGTTCCCATTGGTAGAGAGAGACATTCACAAGCTTGACTGCGAAGTGTTATGGTGCTATGGTAAAGAAGATTGGATGGACAAACTTGGTGGTGAATTATGTTCAAAGCTTATAAACAGACAACATAAAGATTCCAATAGAAGTCATGTCTTAGAAATCGATGATAGTGGACATCATATATATCTCGACAATCCTAAAAAGTTTAATCGGCTTTTACTAGACGAAATGAAAAAATTTTAGCAATTATTTGCTACGACTTTGTATTATCAATAAATAATTTTAATGTTTAGATTACAATATATACTCTTTAGATCATGATAATATTGACTTGATGTCATTCGGCTCGTCTTCGGGCCCCACAAAATTGACTACTAACTTCAAAGATATTGGCAAGTTGGGATCAGTAATTATCATTTCTTCGGCTGCTTTTACCAACGTATTCAACTTCTTATTTAAATTAGGCCTTGTCATTTCTTCCAAGCTCTTTGGATGTCTCAAATACAAGTAATTACTAGACGTGGACAATGAGGGTTGAGTCATCGAGATCTCCTGTTTACTAGATATCTCCTCTATGAACTTAGAAAGTGTCCACCAATTTTGCGCTTCAACAACCTTCGCTGCGTTACCACATACAGGGCAGTTGAGTTTTTGAGCGTGTGGATAAGTGTAGGTGAAGATAGAATAATCACCAGAATACATCATATAATTGTTTAAAATAGGATTCGAATTTGTAACAAACTTGAAAGCTTCATTGCAACATGAGGCAGCTATTATGGCATTTGTAGAGGCAATGGCAGGTATAATGTTTTTAACTACCCCTAAAGTTAACTGTCTGGTGACACCTTCTATATTAAACTCATCCGCTCTTTCCAAGGCTGTTTTATACATCCAATCAACTTGTTCCGGGACATCAGCATCAAATTTCTTTTGAGGAAAATTCTTTGGCCATTGAAGTACACTTGCCCACTCAATACAGTGTTCCGGCAACCGTGGCGTATTTGCAATAGTACACACCGGATATGTAACTTTAGGATTTATCATGTCCAATGTGCACTCGTAACACGATGTTAATCGGGGCAATATAACTCTTGATTGGCCTCTGAATCCTTCGGTACCTCCATCAATCAAAGGTATCAAGTTATTCAAGTCTGAATCAACCATTGATACCAAAGTAGCGTTTATCCACCTTCTGGCCTCTACGTTATCAAGTCCGCATATTACAACATCAAATTGCTGATAATAATCAATTGGCTTGTCCTGAATTTTTCCGAAGTATGGAACTATATTTAAGGTATCATCTTTTATTCTTGATCGAACAAAATTAGCTGCTACCTCTGCTTTTGATTTACCTATATCATTAGGCCTAAATAAAAACTGCCGATTCAAGTTTGATATATCAATTGTATCCATATCAATTAGATGTATATTTCTAAAACCAGTTAATGCTAGATTCTTTAATATTTCACACCCTAATCCACCTGCACCAATTACTAATATAGCTGATGTTGTTAATGATTTACTAGCTTGTACGAAGTCATATTCATCTGGTACCTCATTGTATGGTCCAACATCCCTCAATAATGGTAATATCGATGACAAGCTTCTCGTAGCAGTTGTAGATGTCATAACAATACTGCTGTACCTTGTTAAGTCTTCACCTCTAAGAGCGCATAATTTATAGTAACTACAAAATTGAAATTTTACACAAAGCAAAGATTGATCCAATACTCATATACATCTATTTACGTCACTTGTGCCACATTGTTGATATCCTCGATGTTCTTCGATGAAACCACTGGAGCTGGTTGGTTTTCTTTATCCTTAGATGGGTTTGTATCTTGCGGAACAGCATTACTCGAAGGTTGTGATGTTTCATCTGGTTTCGATCTTTGAGATAAAGTTGCGCTAATTGTATGTTAGTATTGCAATTCACTGTAGTTATTGAGCCGAAAAATATACTTACTCTTGGTGTCTTCTTTTGTATGGGGGTTTCTGAGATGGTGGCAATCCTATCATTCTCTTACCTAAATTGTTGGAATTACTATTTGATATTGTAGGACCTGGACTAGCTCGGTTCAAGGGTTTTGGGGGCCCAATATTAGTTCTAGGCTTGTCATTTGGCGCCTGGCTGATTTCAGACCTCCTCACTGGTACAGATTTTGAATGGTCAAGTGTTCTTCTAATATTGGGAGACACGTATTTGGCATCAAATTGGGGAATTTTCGTTCCATCCTTTGGTGCCTGTTGTAACGCATCTGCCCGTTTGGCACTTACAAATAAAGCTGGTTGGTCTGGAATCTCTTGAACGCTATTATTAACTGAGTTTAGTTCACCACTTCTGTTAGAATTTTCGTTGTTTTCAGCATACGAGCTTCTTGCTATTAGGGCAGGATCATCAGTTCCACCATTTTGTCTGTTCTTGTGGATAAGCATTTGTAATTCGTAATCATCTAGTCCATCGTTATGGCTCATTTCTTCGTCATCCATAGGAAGGTCATCACTAAACACAAGTGAATCATCAAAATCTCCCACTATATCATAATTCTTGGGAGCTGGTGTATTATTACTTGAAGTCTTAGAATGCTGTTGAGGACCACCAGGCTGAGATGGGTGGCTAGCTCTTGGTTTTGTATTATTATCTCTATGCTGGGAAGTGGAATTTGGTATGTTGAAGTTCTTGTTTGAAATTGGCGTCTGTAAGCTAATTGCTGAAATTTTTTGGTCACTGTGAACTTTATTACAGTTGTTTTCATTGCTGTTTGTTGCGCCATTATCATCGTTACCCTTAGGGATATTGTTTGTATTATCGGTATTATTTTCTGCATTTTCATGGATGTTTACCCCAATCGTTTGTTTCTTTTTCATCTCTCGTTGTGCTATCAAAGGGTCTCTGTGGAAATTGTCTGCCTCTAACTCGGGAGCTGGCAATCGAACTTTCTGGATTTTAGAAATAATTGTTCTATCATATAAGCAATTTCCCAAAACGTTACCAAAACACCTCAAGCATCTCTTCAACCCATCTGTAAACGCCTCTTTTTTACATTTTTCAAACGCCATTGCTTTGTTCTTTGCATTATCAATATACCCGTATCCAAAATCTTCATGATACGTGCCGTCCTTAATGGTAATCCGCACCACCACTGAAAGTCCCATAGAAATACGTCCGGTGTTCCCATGTGTATCAAAATAATCTACCTGTGAGCTTATCAACTCTGAACACCAACCATTAAACCCAAATATTTCATTCGCCAAATTAAGCGCTCTCCAACCCTCAATGTACGAAACCTTTTGTCCTCCACCACCTGGGCGAAAACTCACATATTCTGGTCCTAACACTTTATCAAGTAAATACTGGATTCTTTGATGCTCTTCTTCTGTGTAAGAAACTGGTTGAAAGTTTCTATTTGGAGTCCCTTGTGCATTCTTATACTTCGTGTCTTTAAAATGTGAATAATTATACATAGAACTGGCACTATTTGAGGTGGGGCCATTACTGCCACTACTGTTATTATTCGTATTCATGGTATATGGTTTACTATACACAATCAACTTTTACTTGTTAATCAAAACCTCTTCCTTACGTTTGTTATAAATATTAAGATCAAACGCCCTCTGGTGTTGTTATTGTATTGACCCTCGACACGACTCATAATTTTTACGTGTGTTCTTATTAGTAAAGAACGGCCGACTTTAAGAGAGGTTACATTCAACTACAGACGCTAAGGTTAGTTAATACGAGTAGTGAGTAGGTTGGTTATATTGCTTTGATGGAATATATTTATTCGATCTAGAGTTTTTATGGAAATATGGTAAGAGAAAGGTGAGAGATGACTTGTAATGCAAGTTTGAAAGAAGATAACAGATCTTTAACTTCATCGGATAAAAGCGAACAGCTGAGTGATACATCAGACGTAGGTGAAATCAATTACGAGAACGTTGTGGAGGCGGAAAAGACTGCTGCTGGTCTTGTGTGTCAAAAGGGTAATAATTATGAGCGAGACTTGCAACAAGCGCCGATAGGCCAACCGACAATGATAGTGAGTTTTCAAGTCCCCAGGAGAGAGGTAGATGAAAGTAATGAATCCCAGTGTCTTGAAAGGAAGTCGCTGACTCAGAAGGAATTAAATTCAGTACAGAGAAGGAAGCAAATTGCAGAATACAACTCGCTAAAGCTCAAGGAAGAAAGACAAAGGCGATACCGAATACGAAGAGGCGGCGAACTGTCGTTTCTGTATGGAAAATATGATGCTCATAGTGACAATGCGAGCAATAAAGTCGACACACCGTCTTCGAAGAGGAAGAAGAGGGTAAGCTTCGAATTCTAAGCATTTTCTATACACCATTCCCACACCTTCCATAATGTTACCCATAACAGTCCTACAATGGCTACACAATCTCCAAATCTTGGTTTCAGATCTTGATTTCTGTATATATTTTCGATGTATTATATTTCACTTTTAATTATACTAAATTACAGATATTTGTAGGTTTTCAGCCCTTTATACTTCAGTCTAACGTTAAGATTACAAAATACCATATTATTTTGGCTCTATTGATGCAACAGTACATTACTTAATATAGGATGTGGTTCATCTCCTCCATTTCCTTACTACACATCCAAGCTAGAAATTAACGTAATGTTATCACCCTTAAGTAGTATCCTTCCTAATTCTTCTTTTGATCCGTCGTTTGTATTCACCTCCATAGCGTCGTCAATTACCACGTTCATAAACTCGTCAAACCCTCTTATCTTTCCCTGTATTCTCAGTTGAGTTTGTTCATATAACCATATAGTAACTGGTGATTGTTGCTGTAAATATTTAAAAATAAGATTGATTGGAGGAATCATCGTTTTCTTATTTGTCTTAGCACTCGAAGACATCTTGTTTTATCCTGATTATATGTGTTTTCTTTCTATTACTCTATTGCTTGATGGTAAAGAGTAGTTTTTGAATTTTATCGACTCTTCTCGTGCGCGTGATTATGAATGAGGTTTATTTGGATTTGTAGAATATTATTCAATGTCAATTGAATTTCTTACTCATGGAAGGTCCTCCTGGTGATTTAAAGCACTTGTTTATTGAGTGGCTTCAGGAAGCTGCTATAAATGCTACAAAAAAAGGTACGAAGGCTGCCATATTATATAATAAGGCACTAGGTAGTGTTAGGAATTACCCGCTACCTATTAATGATCCAAAAACGTTAAAGCTGGTACAGTTCGTAGGAGACAAGACATGCATTCATTTGTCAAAAAGATTAGAAGAATACTGCAAATTGAATAACTTTGAGTTACCTGTGGCATTTGGCAGTTTAATTAATGTAGGTGTGGGTGAAAAACGAAAACATGAGGTATCAGATGCATCAAACTTACCTGACGCTAAACCCAAAAAACAAAGAAAGCAAAAGCAGTATATACCCAGAAAGCGGTCTGGAGGATACGCGATACTATTGGCGCTATATTTCGGTGATAAAAAGAAGGTTGGATTAACTAAGGAAGAAATAATTCAGCGTGCAACTCCATACTCAGATAAATCGTTTAAATCGAATCCTTCTGCGAACGAGTTTTATTCAGCATGGAGTTCTATAAAAATTTTGCAAACCCATGATTTGGTTGACTCTTCTGGTAGAAGCTCAAAATCATATTTCCTCACAGAAGAAGGATATGAACTTGCAAAACAACTAAAAGATGCGGAAGGATTTGAGTCGTCACCAATCACAAATCACATTGCAGACTTATCTTTTGATAATCAAGTTAGAGTAACCCCAGATAGTTCGTATTCCAAAATAAGTCAACAATTGGATAGTTCTCCATTGATGAAGACGAAGAATAGCAAAGACAGGTACGGATTGGGTCCCAGCCGGCTTGGCTCCACAAGAGAACATATGTTAGACTTTTCGCTGTCTCCACGTTTAATTTCTTCTCCGTTGAAACCCAAAGATTTCGTTCTTCAAGAAAGCTTGTCTTCCCATAACTCCACGCGGCCATTACAGGATAGAGAGTCGATTTCAAAAGCTGAGGATCAAACTAATACTAATACCAAAGCGAGGTTAGTGCATGATGCTTCAAAAAGGATATATGATGACACGAATTACGATATATGGGTTCCGGGAGAGTTTGAAATTATTTTAATTATAGATAATAGAGAGATACGGTCACAAAGAGACCGTGATTTCTTTCAGACTCGTTTGACTAATCTTAAGGTGGAGTGTGATGTAAGGCCGTTATCAGTGGGAGATGTGGTATGGGTGGCGAAACACAAGAAGACTGGCAGAGAGGTGATTTTGAATTATATTTGTGAGAGAAAAAGATTGGATGATTTAGTGTCGTCCATTAAAGATGGACGGTTTCAAGAACAAAAAAATAGGTTAAAAAAATCGGGTATGAAACAGTTCTATTACTTAGTAGAGGACGTGGTAACAAGTGACATGAATAAATTTGGTGATATGTCGGATGCCATACAAACTGCCATGTCTATGACCATGACAATATCCAATTTTTATTTGAAAAGATTCAAATCTATCGAAGATACAATTGCTTTCCTAGCGTCATTAACCCAAGTTATTAAAGATCAATTTGCAAAAAACAAGACTAATCTATTGGTTCTAAAGGCGAGGTCAATCAAGAACCAGGCCGAATACAGTCTTTTGACTGCCAAGTTTAAAGAGAAATTTGAAAACAGACGGACCCTGTATGAATGTGTCCATTTGTTTTCCACCTTCCAGGATTCTATGGGAAAAACTGGTATGATGACGGTAAAAGAAACGTTCATATTAATGTTAATGGGAATCAGAGGAGTTTCGTTGGAAAGAGCTGTTGCAATTCAAAATCGTTTCAAAACTCCCAAAAATCTCATAGAATTCTACTTTGTAGAAAACAATCATCTTAGTGAATTAGATAAGAAACAGCTAATGATGGATGTTTTCAAAAATGAAATAGGCAATAAAAAAATTGGAAAAGTCTTACTGGAAAAGATTTACGATGTGTGGGGATGTGGCTAAGGTTTTATTGAGGTAAATAACACAATTGGTAACTAGGGATCTATATAGAAGTAGTTATTTATCTATTATATTCATATACAGTCGTGTGTGTGTAAATTTGGTGGAATGAAAAAAACCTCAGTTTTTTTTTTCCAGTGGTCATAGTTAACGAAGTAAGAGATACTTCGAGAAGTAGACTAGCATATTACATTTAGGACAGTATGGGAAAGCGTACCATCAAATTTGGTGGTAAATCAGGTATCTTGCCTAAGGTTCGTCCTGTTTTCAAGAGATATCCAATCAGACCAAAGACTACTGACGAATTGGCTGATGAATCTAAAGTAGAACAAGGATTTGCTGAAGGAGTCCCATTACCAACTAGAAAGGGATTCACATTCCACCGTCAAACAATAGAAAAACCAGTTGTTACAGTTGAAGAAAGAATCAAGAAAAACATAGACGAAAGAAAACCTCAAAATATTGATGAATCAAAATTAAGTCAAGAAGAAATATGGAAATTAAAGAGAGATGAGATTCGCCGTGAACATTTGAGGGAGGCATATTTAAATGAGTCCAAGAGATTACAAAGAATTGAAGAGTTGAAAAAAATACAAGCTGAAAAAGAACTTGCTACCAAAGCATCCCAATCCATTTATGAAGAAACCGAGGCAACAAAATTAACATTGCCTACCATTGATTCATATTTGAATGGTCCAATTATGAGACAAAGGACTGAAGAAGAACAAGAGATAGTGACTGAACAAAGAATCTTGAATAGAAAGACCAAAGAATTAGCCATAAAAGAACGTAAGACTAACCAATTGTTAGAATTATACCATGCAGCAGCTAACTTCATCACCACTGAAGACGAATTAGAACAAGCCATCAAGGATGCATTTGAAGTTAATGTTAGCAAGTTTGAGAGTAACCAAATGATCATCGAAAACAAACTTTCCGGTTACTCACATGCTTTTTCCAACATCAACACCAATGAGGGATTAGTTTTAGATGAAGTATTAGGTCAAGTTAATGGCCAACCTGGCTTAGAAACTGTTAAGGATACTCTAGATGGTGAGATCGAAAGATTGAAACGTGAAGCCCAACTTGCGATCAACCAAAGACCACATTAATACGGTTTTTCCAACCACTTTGCTATAACTAAGGTATTATCATACTTGAATAGTGAATATGTACATAGCTTTTCATAATATAAACTATCATTTATCAACGTATTTCTAACTCTTGTATTTATGACATAAAAATTATTGTCGTGTTCTGACCATGATTCGAAGACTGAAAACTTATGAAAAGTCCTTGAAGTCTAAGAAATACGGTAAGAACCTAATTAAAATTCATTCATAAGATACGATGTCATTTAGGCCAAGGTCAAACTCGCTGACTACCAAAAAGGCTGCATCATATCAATCCTACTTTGCTAAAGTCCTAGCAAAGAGATTGAAGTATTTAAATAATATCAATGCGTTCTTGGCTATTATTATTTCTATCAGTTTAAAGTTACCATACGGTAAATTTTGGTGGAACTTTATATTAACGTTTATTTTGCGTGGTCCATTGATATTTGTTGCATTATTTACAATCAAACTTGCTAGAGACAACAATGCAACTGTCGAATTTTCGCCATACAAAACATTAGGTTTGCAAGTTGCTAAAACCTTGATATCAAGAAAATTTGTATTGAATTCAATTTTCTATGGTATATCAACATATATCTTCACATCAATATTCATATTCCAATTGCCATTCACGTTTGATTATTATCTTCTTTCAAAAGAATATCAACAGAGACCCTTAGTTAACGATGAATGGGTATATTATTGGTTCTACTCATTTTACCTTGCGATTGCTTACAGTGCCCAACATTTGATCTTTCAACGTAATAGATTGCAGTTCCAATACGGCGTCACTAAAGTGAAACCAGAAGATGCCTTATTGAAGAAAATCCCGAAGTTAGTAGGAAATACTATTGTGCTTAATTCAATAATTTGTCTTAGCGGGCCCATTGTATACTTTTTAATCAGATCTTTTATTTACAAAATAAACTGGTTTGTTTTAATTATAATGGGGTTGGATTCAAATATTCCTAACTATCGTGTTTCTATGAGGACAGTGGTTCATCTCTCCTACGTTTCAGCACACATTATATTTTCATGGGAAGTCGTAAACCGTATTTATAATGTGTATGCTACAATTGGCTGCTTAGATGGAAGTAAGCCTATCAGTACATATAGCGCTGACCCTATTAATACATTACTTTCAGGTGTCCGCAATGTTGACCCTGAAAATCAATTGAGTCGCTTAACAGCTTACCAAGAATTAGCGTATATTTCGACAACTAATGATCCAGAAGGGGTCAAACTTAGAAACGCTATTTATAATGCACATTCCAGAGGAGGATTTATTTGGCCTGCTATTTTGGATGAATGTTCGTTGATTATTAAAGAGGCAACCCTGAAAATTAATTATCGTTCCGGACGTGATATGAAAGCTTTAAAGCAAAACCAAATCTCCGTCAAAGATGATTTCCGTACATCATTAAAATCGAGCGATGAAATATTTGGAAACTCATTTACTTTGAGCCCGACCCTAAATTCGCAATCCTCACCTATCCCAAATATGAAGAAATATGATGAAAGGCTGGAAAATAAACAAAATGCCAACACAAACAATATAAAATATTCCCCCATATATAATTTTTTTGAGCTACAGATTTGGACTCCTATCAAAACAATTTTGTCTTCAAATGTTAGCTTCACAACGAATGAAACTTCGAAAACATATTTCCACAGTTGCTTTACAAATGGCATAAGCGAGGTAAAGAAACTCTACTCTGAGTACCGTAACCACTTCCTCACAACACACATAGGAGTATTTTTTAGAATAACTATTAAAAGAGACACAGAATCCAGGGTTGTGAATCCTGTCAATTATGGCAATGCAGTAATTGCCATTACAAATTTGGTCATACATGCAATAGAAGAAGATAAGAACTCTACTGTCTCAAACAATCATATTTCAGAGATTCTTACTCTTCTTGAAAGGCCAATTAGAGCTAGTAGCAACTATACTGACTTACTTCCTGCGAGTGTTTATTTAACACAAGCACAGAAAAGAGATAAAAAATTGACAAAGAACCATTTGATAGCCTTGCTACATGATTTGACAATGAATGAATTTTTCCAAGTTTGTATTAAGTATAATTACAAATTAAATGATTTGGTCTTATCATCAAGAGCCTTTAAGTTAGCTAAATGGGTTATTGATGTCGCTATCGCTCAGCAACAACAAAAGCATAAAGGTAAGCAAGGAGCAGCTTTAAGTATGCAACTTTAGAATCTGATTTCTTTTATGTATATTTACACATTATATATTTACTTCACTTAATTCAAAAATAAACATTTGAATGCATTTAAACAGAAGATCAAACGGAACAATATTTCAATTATGGCCATGACTTGGATGATTATCGTCCTTATGATTCTTCCTATTTTGATGAGGTAAAGTGTCTAATAAAACAGGCTTTAAAACTTGTTCATCAAACTTCGTGAACCACTTCACATGTTCTTCTGCGCTTAGCAAAGCCCCCAATACACCATTATTATTAGGATCGTTTGTATTGATGTTAGAATTGGAAGCCACATGATTATTCAGGAGTAAATCGTCTACATCGCTTGCATTTAGTTCATCCTCATCGTTGACTAAATCAGCGGAAGAACTATTGTGAGAAGATGTTCCTATTGGGTGTGGTGTATTTGTACCCACAGTAGGCTTGAATGATGATAAACTCACGGATGAGTCGTTTCTTGACCTTACATCATCCTTATAAATATTCTTTCCTGGGGTGTTCATATTTCTTGAACCTGTGTCAATACTTGTCGTGGAATTTCCAAACCTTCTACTTCCTAACATACTTGGAGTTGAGTTTAACGATGGGCTAGTTAAAGGTAATCTAGGAGCCTCTATGTCGAATTCATCGTCTGAGTCATCATGTTCGTCCACACAACCAACTCTAATACCGAAAAGTTCCAACATGGACGCAGTTGTACCACCGAATAATATAACGGTCAATACGACAACAACTAACACAGTGGCCATTAGTGTCCATTTAGCTTCTCCTTGAATTCCCATTGCCAAAGCAACGCCAACTGCACCTCTTAATCCGGCCCAGAAAATCATCATTTGATAAGAATGGCTGATTTCATCAGGTAAGGATTGGGATGAAATTCCACCACTCAGTGCTGATCTACTGGTGAATTCTTTGAATCTTGCCTTGTACAAGAAATTCAAAAGTCTTGACAAGGGGAAGACAGCCAGCCATCTCGCAACACAAATCAGAATAAATGAAATTATAATAAGCAAAGGCTTAAAAACTAATTCCACTTCTGTGAAGAGAGACAACCCTAAGTATATGAAGATAAAATTTTCAGATAATTGAGCCAATAATTGGAAAATATACTTCGTAGCTATCTGCGTCCTTCTCGACATATTAAAATAGGCATAGTGCTTAAGGGTAATACCACAGAATAATAAGGAAACTATACCGGACATATGAGCACCATTGGAAAAGAAGTAAGATTCGTAAGCAAATAATAAAACCAAACAAGTTTCAATCTGAGGATATCTTCTGATATGAGAATGCTTCAAGATTAATGCAACAAAAACACCCACCAAAATACCAATAATAGTAGATATGGTGAAAGACATCAAAAATAAGCCAATACCCTCGAAGAAACTTGAAAAGTAAAGGGTCTTTCCATGGAACTTCTGACAAGTCTCGAACATAACGATGGAAATAGCATCATTTAACAAGGACTCACCAAAAATAATGGTGTATAATTTTGGGTCAACTTTGTAAGCATTAAAAATGGACAAGATAGTAACGGGATCTGTAGCAGATAAAGTGGCTCCTACGGCCAATGCATCTACAAACTCCAAATGAATACCATCCAAGCCCAAGGCTGTCCATACATAAAGGATTGTTCCTAATACCAAAGCAGAAATAAAAGTCCCCGGAATAGCAAAAGTCAAGATCGAACCAAAATTACGGAAGAAATTCACCTGATGCAACTCATATCCTGAATTCAAGATAATGGGCGGTAACAAAATATTAAAGAAATACCCCGAATTGAACTTGACTGCGTCCTGAATGTAATGGCCCGGCGAAATCCTGATTATCAATCCCACAATCATCCCGTAGAAAATGGACAACACCGTCTCATGAATAGCTTTGATTCGTCTTTGCTGGAGAAAGTAAGACGACCACAACGCTGCACATAGCAAAAAGAGCAAGATAAATAATGCCCAAGACGAAAATATCTCCTCTGTCACTGGATTCGAGTCCTCGAGCGAATCGTCCGGCTGTGTCACGTCTGGAATGTCATCATCCAAATCCTCGTCCCCCTTCACCGCTCTTTTCAATAGCACTTTTGCTGCTGTTAGCACAATACTAGACATATTATATGCTCTATTACCGTTTTTTTCTGTTTCAGTCTATTAAACCTGTGTATATGGTACAACTGGTACAATATCCTCAAATGTCTCCACTTAATTCAATCAGCTCCAATTTTTAAATCTAAATAATCTAGATATCTCACTAGCTGTCTATTACGTGTCAAATCCTCTTAAAAATTGCAATCAAACGTCCCAGTGTTTTCACGTCTATCCAATTGTTTTAATTCCCTTAGATACAACTTATTTCCAGGTGTATCTTCTAAAAAATCAACAAATTAACTTATCAATATAACTAACGATTTGTTTTACTTTGGCGGTAATTACAGATAAACGAATAATGGCTGCTTATGTAAGTAGTGGGAATTTTTCAAGAACTCTGAAAAAGTCTCCCATTTAATAATAGTCTAAAAATACGTCATCAAGCCACTATTGACGTGTGTCACGTGCTTCTATTATGATCTAAAAAAATTTAACAAGCCACATGGATTAATACTGGCTATTGATATTTGGAGTATAAGCTGGTTTATTAACTGAAAAAATCGGAGTAGCATACTAGGTAAACCTAGACAGCTGCAATAACGATAGTAAAGTATAAAAAAGCTCGACTTGTGGAAGCTAAATAGAGAAATATTCGTTCGCTAAAATAATTAGATTAACCAGA